CACAGTTGGCGTGTCTATTCCTCTGATCGGAGTGTCCGTCTCGCGCACAGTAGTATCTGGTGTGTACGCTGGCGTACTCTCTACAGTCGGTTGCGACTCATTTGCGTCCATTATCCTGGGCCTAGCATCGACTAGTTTCTGCGGTGTATTGTACATTTTCACAAAACTGCTGTTTCGCTTGTAACAAATTCCTTGCGGAGACTCAACCGTACAACTATTTCCTACCTTTTCGCCTAATTTCTAGCACATCAATCACCTTTCCTGTCGATGTGTCCTTAGTGACTTCAAGTTCATAATATCTGCTATAGTAATCAACCACAACAACCACGTAATGTCCGGTTAGGAGAGTCCCATGAGATAGATCGCGAGATCTTGCCAAGGTCCTGTTGGCAACGGTGTAGGTGTCACTGGCTCTGGGTGCGTTGCACTTTCAACGATTTGACAGCCATGACATGTTTTGACGTATTTCTCAACATCCTTTTCCATGTGTGGCCACCACACTTTAGTTCGGAGTTGTTGTTTCGTTCCCTTGATACCAAGATGTCCTTGGTGAGCCAATTCCACACATTAACTACGTAACGCTGTCGGAATTACTAACTGGGTTCCTCTTAACACTAGGTAACCAATCTGACTTACTTCCTACCTGACTGGGTAATATAACGGGCATGACTTGTCCCATCTCCGTGACACTAGGCACTCTCTCACGTTGGATAGTTCCTTGTCTACTTTGGATATCTCCTCGACTTCGCGAGTCGACATAGCTATCGGAGTTGCCTCCCTTGCCACAAACCTGACAAAGTCCTCGGTGTCAGACTCCAGCTGACTAGGTGTCGGCCTGACTTTGAGAGTCGGGTCCACTAACCTTGATAACGAGTCTGCGATATTGATTTTCCCGGGCGCGTAGACAACTTTGAAATTGTATGGCATCAACTTCATGACCCATCGTTCAATCCTCGCGTTGGGCTTTGACCTCGGTCCATACAACACCTAGAGCGGTTAATGGTCGGTAATTAACTCAAACGCGACTCCATGGAGATATAATCGCAAAGTGAAAGTCCCACAGATTGAGACAACGTCTCCTGGAAAAAGGACACAAATTAACATTATTAGTATATATCACTATTGGATACAAAAACACAATGGGCATTGCCTGATGTAATAGCAACGACAGACAATGCAGCAAATGAGCGGAAAGCTTTTGACATTCTGAAATGGCCAC